AGGCTTCTACTACGCTAACCTTAATGACTAATGAGTAATGTACAAATGTCAAGAAACAAGTCATCTTGTTCCAAGAGCTTGCAAGTCATGATGGTTGGGCCGCTAAGTAGCAAACGAATGAAGAGAGATACACTTATGTGACAAGTGTATCTACATAGGGATTCGTGAGTCGAGACACACAACTTTGTTCGAAGTCTTATTCAATTTTTAAAAAATTATAAAAATGACTAAATACACAATATCATATTAGGAATAAATGATTTTATATCTATGTTGTTTGAATAGTTTTATTTATTTTTGTTAGAGATCACTATTGATTTAATTATATCTATATTGTTTAAGTTATTTTAGGAGAATGTGTTTCTTTTTTATATGTGGCATGTTGAACTGCTTAAATATACTAATAATAATTATTGTTCAATATTGAATTGACATCAATAGATTATTAATTGTATTTCATAACATTTTAATAATAGATTTAATGTCACTAGTAATAACGATTTAGTATATTTCGTTAATCTATGATATTTTTTTGTATTGGGAGACATGCACGGTAATTTACCGATACCGTACTGTTACCGAACCGAAACTTTGATATACCGAAATGCGGTATACCGAAACTTTGGTAAGGTAAAGGTATGCAAATTTTGCATACCGAAAGTTTTGGTACGGCAAAGATATGAGAAAAAATATAAGGTATACCGTACCGAACCACTCCTAATTCTTGTTACACTTTGAATATGAGAGAATTCCCGTGATATGAGTAAAACATACTTAAACTGTAAAAAACACAAGTCAATGTTTAAAATTTTTAAATATGTGTCATAATTTGTGATTGAATAAAAATGCGAGGGGTTGAAACTTGGCCATCTGACTACCGCGGGCTGCCGGTTAATGGACTGCCATCACTGCCGGTCTTTAGACCGCCGGTCGGTCGGTCACTGGACTGCTGCTGGCTGCCGTGGGTTAATGGACTGTCATCCCTAATTAAGTAGAGTTCAGGGAATTAATTACATTAATTATATTAAAGACGGAAAGGTAATGCTTAGGCTTATCTTTATCTTTATATTATATAAAGTAGCAAAGTCTGCTACAATTATTGGAGGGAAAATTCCCGCCCAAATTAAGAGTATAATATTAAGAGTAATTAAGAGTAATATATGAAGTATTAGTTATGCACGTATGAATATATGCTATGGTGGAGCATTTAGTGCCCAGCATTTAAGACATTTATTTATTGTCCAGAAATGAAGTTGCTATCAAAGTGGGAAGAAATCCTACTATATACTCCCTCCTCCGTCCCAGAAAATCCTTCCAACTTTCCTTTTTGGGACGTCCCAGAAAATTCTTCCAACTTCACCTTTTTGATTATTTGTGTGGCTCACATTCATTTCACTTTTTTCTTACACAACTACAACCATACATTTCTACTTTATTCCACTACCTAAATATGCGATCCAACTCAAAGTTGGAAGAATTTTCTGGGACGGATGGAGTATATAAAAAGTATATAAAACAAATAAAATTCTCGATTACAATTAATATGGAGCATATAATTCTTGATCATATGTAAATACACATTATTACACATATACTTTCTAAATATCTTCATCTTTATAAGGTAGCAAAGTTGCTATCATAAAAAAACAGCAAAATTGCTACAATTTTTTAAGGCAAAATTCCCGTCCAATTTAATGTCATATTTGTAAATTAGATTGTCGCATAAAAGTATAAACCTGCCGCCCATTACTATATTACTTTGTACTATATTTAAGTAGAAGGTATATTAATTATTACTAGCTAGAGTAATAAAAACATAGTATTTGGAATCCACTATATATATGACCACTTTATGGTATCATACATATATTATAAACTAATATTCATCTTTATAAGGTAGAAAAGTTGCTATCACAGGTAAATTTGTTTTAGAGACGAAAGTTATATCTGGCAAAAGTGTTGGCCAAAAGGTTTTGATTCCGCGACTATCACTGGTCCCCTCGGATAGCAGAATTCCTTTCAAATTTCAACGCAGACAATTCCCAGTTATCGTTTCATTTGCCATGACGATAAACAAAAGTCAAGGACAATCTCTGCAACAAGTGGACATATATCTCCCAAAACCCGTGTTTACTCATGGTCAATTGTACGTTGCCATGTCAAGGGTTACCTCAAGGAGTGGGTTGAAGGTTCTCATATTGGATGATGAAGGTCGTGCTATCAACACCACCAAGAATGTAGTCTATAAAGAAGTTTTCCGAAATTTGTGAAACCCTTTTTTACATTGTCAACATATATGAATATGATTGTTTTATTTTATATAATTTCACGATACCCACCAATAATTGTAGTATCAACTTATTCTTTGTGACACAAAGCTAATTGTTTTTTCACGTAGACCTTGGTTACACATTATTGTTTATTTTATTTTATTATTGCAATTTTCATACGATTCAAATTTCCCCGCAACTATTACAACGTATATAATCAAACTCAAATTATATAAACGTTAAACTATATTCTTATTTAGAAAATTATGCGTTATATACCATCGTAAAACATTAATCTATTAAATTGCGTATTATTCAATTCTAGATATACCCCGTGCATCGCACGGGTACTTCGTCTAGTTTAGAGTAAAACTCATGGACTCCTATTTAGGAACTTTAATCATTTTCTAGACTCCTGTTTAGAAACATTAATAATTCTTTAGTCCTATTTACTTATTTAGGACAATTTCATTTTTATTATTTGTGTCAAATCTCGACCTCTAACGACCATGTACTGTAACGACTATCACCAAGATTAGATTTGTTTGTCATTAACAATAAACGGATGGTATTTGTTGGGGATATCTGATAGTCGATTACTCGATTCAATAAGTAGGCTTGACTGGTGGATTAAGTTAAAAGATGGTAGAAAGAGATGAGCCATTAATTACGTGCAACCTCTTGAATGCGTGTCTAGATCATCTACGAGATTGATGTAGCATGTTGAGAGTTTGATAGAAACTTGGTTTCTAAGAAAATAGCTTCTAAGAACATGCAGCAATGTCAACTTCAATGCATCCAAAGATTGTACACCATCCTTTGAGCTGTTTAGTGACTCAAAAACGTGTTTAACAGCACACCGATCAACAGACTTACTCCCATCAAAATATCTTTCCATATGTCACCATCACATTCATAACTTAATTGGGGTTTCTCAATGCAAAACGTGAAACCTGTTATCAATGTATGGTCTTCTTTCTTCATACTTACAATTCGGTTGCGTATTACGAATTAATTCCCTTCATGTATTTTTTTTCCTTCAATTCCTGCACATGGTTCCCTACAAGCATAAAAATTAGTTGCGCATTCACCCATGCCATGTTTCGTATATCCATTATGTACCCAAAAGCGGACTTCGGAAACTCTTCTATGTCCTCTTTTGACAAGACACGCTGTAATGACTATACTTCCTCGCATGGATTGCAAAACAATTGACACGTATTCATTCTTAACCTCCAAAATATTTGGCGACCAAAACATCTTTTACACCTACTCCAAACAATATACGTAGTACTACACACATTCACACTGGTTTCTTCTTTATAAAAAACATTTTAATTCATTGTATTACACTAAACGATTCAAATCTACTCACCACACCACATATTCAAATCTTCTTTAATGCACTGCTTTTCATTTCTTTGCCTTGAAATTACTACACAATTAGCACTTCAATAGGCAACACAACGCACCATAAACTTAATCAAATATACTACTTTTTTTAGGGAATCAACTATATATGTGCATTTATGGCATAATAAGTAGTATATATATAATATAATCAAATATACTACTTACTTTGCCATAAATGCGCGCACACACACACACACACACATATATATATATATATTTCATTCACTTATTAAACAAATTTATAACACCACCACCATTGTTATATGAAACAAGTCATTAATCTTTTTATTTTAATGCATTCTATTACACTTCACAAATCAACTCTCCACAATGCATTCATTAATCTTTTACATTTTTATTTTCATTCACTACATTGCGTTACCAAATTCAATCAATCTACGACACAACACTAACGACATTTAGCAGATACACAACATCGACCAAAAATGTTTCCCAACACACATGCCCACCATAAAAAATATGATTCATTACAACAAATAATTATTTATACACCCAAAACATCACTACAAATATTCATTCATACAAAAACAACACACACCACCGATTCTGGACTCAGAAAAACACAGAATTTATGAAATGGAAGAAAATAACACTTACCACACCGTCAACGATTATCAACTCACCGTCTTTCTTTTTTCAGCAACGCTCCCTGTTCACTTTTCCCTCTCGTGTTTGGCATTTTTGCCGCTTCTCTGCTTCTTGACCCTGCTTTGTCTTTCACAGCATTCCTCTCAAAATTTAGGCCACACTTGTTTGAAATTCTTCCTTAAATGAACCACTTACCAACTCTGATCGGCCTCCTTTCTCTCTGTCTATAAATACATAATCTTCCCATCTTCGTATCCCGCAGCTCACCAATGCCCGTTTTTTACGAGCCTATTTCGGTCTTTTGACGTTGTGGTTTTTACGATGCTCGATTATAATTACACATGATTGGTCGAACACGTGGAAAGAAACATACCAATAGGCATGGAAAGAAACATAGGAGTAGGCATGGACCGGGCCACGGGCCGGTCGGCCCGGAACTGGTCCATCACTACATAGGAGGTTATATTCTGGAAAATGTGTTGATTTATGATTATAAGTAGGTATTTTTCCCTAGAAATTTCAGGCTAAGCAAAATCTTATGTGAAGAGCAGACATGAGAATTGTCATATAGTGAAAAATTACAAACCCTAAACACTACAAGTAGCATCGTTTTTTTATCGGCAATTTCATCGAAAACGCTAGAGTTTGATAGTTGTTTACGAGACATCAAAGCACAACACTTCCACTGATTGGAAATGTAAAAATAATCGCAACTTGAAGCATCTTATTTTTAGTTTCCAATGTTTTCAGTGATTGTCCATCGTATCGAATTGCCATTTTGAAATGTCATTTGCCATTGTCAATACATGATTATTAAAATAGCACCAATGAGTCATTAAAATAAGGATTAGGATTAGAACATAGGAGCTAATTTGAACTTGAGACCTCGTGCTTATCAACGGCTTATTTTCAACCCATTGTATTACTCACCACCTCTTCAAGCCTGGCACTGAGGTGCATATAAAGTTAGTCACATATCTTCTTCATCAAAGTCCATGAGGAAGTCTGTTAGGTTTTCAGAGTCATCTATAGCTTCCTCCAAAGACATGTTTGTCTTTTTTGGTTTCTTCTGCAAAATTGTTGATAAAGAATTAGAAATGCAGGTTATACATCCTTTTCCTATAGGCTATAGACTAAAAATTTCTGGGATTGTTCTTCACCTTTGACTTGCGAAGCTCGGGATTAGTTTTCAGAACACTCCAATTGCGAGAGAATTTCTCCTCTTCATCTTTACCTTCAACTTCACTGTTCTCTTCATCATCCTAGAGAATTAAAAGTTGAGCACTTAACAACCAAAGTAGAAAACATGAGTGAAAAAAAGAACTTGTAAAATGATTCTTGGATATAGAACTGACTTCATTTTCAGCAATGTTGACAGCTTGTGCCATGGCTTCATCCATATCAGGGTACTGCTGAAGTAATATACCACAATCAGCCAAAAAAATGAAATTTGAGAAAAATATAAAGAATATAAACCTATTGAGAGTAACATATCATGGATCGATTCATGTTAGCCGACCCCAAAATCTTTTGAGAATAAGGCTTGGATGTTGTTGTAGAGTAACATAACAACAAAAGTTTTAAAAATGAAATGCAACCATCACATGTGTCTAGTTCTTAGATCTTGTTCCACTTTTAGTCATAAACTAAGGGTTCTGGAGGGCCAAAAGTGATACAAAATCAAAACTGAAGTATGGGCATGGTCCATTTCAAAGTTGAGGAATGAAATACTTGATAACAAAACACCAATGGAGGTTCACCGAGATCAGATTGTTTCCAGTTGTAGGATGAAAAAGATCAGAAAACAAATAACGACTCTGAGATATTAAATGAAAGACAATGGAAAATAAAACTATAAATAAGGCTTGTTACTACACCAACAACCACTGTAAAGCATTATTACACAGTTTGCGGGGTAAAACCTCTATATCTTTTGTTTCTAGTTCTGCAATCATTTCGTCCAGCTCCTCTCTGGTAATTATTTTGCCATGCTGTTCAGGAACAAATCATTATGCCAAATATTAGATAGCAAATGAACTAGTTTTAAAAGAAATAATACCACATTTGGCTGTATCTTCAATTTTGCCCATTTTTTGGTACATGACTATTGTTTATTGCCCATCTGTGGTCCTTCAAGTCAAATATCTGGCACCACTCGCACGATTTTAAGCACCAGAAATATAGAAGGAATGATCACAAGCAATAGGCAAAAGTCATGCACTGAAAGCGTGCAAAGCCAATGCCACGGACCAAAAGTGGTATTGGTATAATAATTGACTACACGTAGAACAAGAAATGAAATTTATTCATTTACAAAATGTATCAAAATTTACACTGCATCTAAGAGTGTGTGCATCTGTTTTTTATAATAAAAAAAATCAAAACTATTGTGCCCACTCCTTTTATATTCTGTTACAAAATCACAGTTACTTTTTAAATGTCTTCAATCAGTAATGTTCTGCTGTGAAAAGAATAATGGACTTACAACAATGCCAGGATGTTAATATAGATATACTTGAATTCAAAACCATCCAGCAAAATTAGTTTCATCTAGAAGAAACCACACGATAGCATCCTTGACGCCGCTAACCGTTTTTCACATTGTCTTTTTTTATTAGAATTCACACATTCTCAACCACTAAAGAACGAAAAGAAAGGTGGAAAGCTGAGAAAGTTTGATTAAAAATAAATTAATGAGGAAACATAAAGCTGTTTGTACAGCATATATATAACTACAAATCTTGTGCATTGAAAAACATTATAATCGAACATAATATTTTGAATTAATTAGAACGCAATATAATAAGAACAAATGCAATGAACACTTGCTAAATTGCACTTTATTGATACGGGGTATAATTTAACAGGATACGTCATATGTCAGTATGCCCCTTAAAAAGGGGAGAACAGAAAAATACATCGAAAATTAAAGCTCATACCTCTTTGAGATGTGAGAGCATATCCGGGGTTGGTTCATGAAAATTAGGCCCTCTGAAATCAACCACTCCATTTGGCTCTTGAATGTAGTTTATTGTTGGGTAAACGGGATCTCCACCCCATACTGAAACACAAGATATCAGACATTCAGACAATATAAAGCGCAATGGAACCAGAAAGGAAGTTTTCATATTTATCAAACTTTACAGAACAATTTGCAATAATAATACCGGCAGTATAAACATATAAAAAGCTCTAATATGGCACAAAATTGCACACTTGCAGCTGGAACCATTAAAATTAGAGTAATTTCTTTAGCAAAATTAGCATGCAAGGAAGCCAAGGACTTAATGTGTAGAAAAAAATGCCTAAAAAACCATGTTATACGGAATGTCTATACGCATCATGTCGCTTCTTATGTTCAATACCAAAACGGAAAAACCCCACAACCAAATTATGTTAAACAGATAGCCATGTAGGTTCACGGGACACAATGACTGAATGACACTTTGCAATATATACTCTCTCACTCTCTCACAAGGAAATCGAGTAAGGTCCTGACAGGATCCCTATCAGGCCTACTTCACTTTTTGCCGCAATTGAATTCAATGGTCCTAATTTCTTCACTTATTAAAATCAAGTATTATCATTTTCATTTACCCCAGTGCCGCAAAGGCTCCCACCTACGGTGGGGTAAGGGGGGTCGGATGTACGCAGTCTTGCCCCTGTACTAAAGCAAAATGGGTCACTGAACTGTCTGCGCTTCTTTGTTATGAAGCAGCGGTCAGTCCATTCAATTTTGGACGCGATTTTCACTATGGGTCATTCGGAAACAGTCTCTGTGTGCTTTAGTACAGGGGCAAGACTGCGTACATCCGACCCCCCTTACCCCACCATAGGTGGGAGCCTTTGCGGCACTGGGGTAAATAAAAATGAAAATGAAATTAAAATCAAGTATTAGTTTTAACCTTTAAATCATTGTACAAACAATTAAGAAATATTATTCTGTTTTTAATAATGAATTAATCCTAACTGTTAGATAATCTTTAAAAGTGAGAAATCGAGTGTAGAGTCTCTAACTTCGAAATATATATATAAACACATTCAAGTTATAGAGAGGGACAGCTAAGCAATACTCTGTTTTATCTGATCTTCCCGCATTCTCATGGCTAAAGGATCTCGACGTACACGGGTGTCAGTTCCCATCATTATACGGAATTCTCTATCAGTTTGATTGCAGAACATTTCAATGAGTTGTGTGTTCTCATCTTCACCAGTATCCTCAAAATGGTTTTGAACAGCTTCACGCGAAGTGTCTCTCTTCCAATCCTTGACCCACTCTGAGTAGTATGCAATTGGACCTACTTCTTGAAGTCGTTCTTTTTCTGCCTGTAGTCTGTAGAACTTTGTATTTTCTTTCAGCACCGCAGTGCACATATTTCAGCAGCTTACTATGAGATCAAACAAGAAACAAAGGTTACCTTTCTTCTTTGAATATGTGTCGTCTTGCTCTATAGAGTGCACACTCTGTCAAAGTAGGATGCTCACCATAAAGCTTTATTTGCCCAGTCTCTGCCATAGCTTTTAGAAACACCTGATCACATAAAAAAAGTTAATTCTTTTCAGGTGTTAAAATGGATATTTTGAATCATCTTTTTTAGAAACATTATATTCATCAAGATACAGAACTGTACTCCTAAGCATTCCCCTCCAAACCCATCCAAAGAGACCCTTAGATGTTAACAATGATGAAAGATTGCATTGACAACTTTTTCTGTTAGATATCATAATGAATATCTAGTCAAAGTCGAGAAAGTAAAGAATATATAGCAAGCTATGTTCAGTTTTGAAGATTATTCAATGAGTTTTGAACTTCTTTTAGTAGCATTTTGAAGAAACTCAATGCATTTTTCGTCAAGGGCATTTAATTTCAAAAATATTCATTTGAACATTACTTTTTGTGTTACATTTTAACATCGATGGTAGATTGGTAGCTTATCAGTCTCTTTGACTGAGCAGCTAGTTTTTAGCTACAAGCTATGGAGTATTACTTATAATCCATCAGCTCTTAATTCGATTGTGAACTTAATGATGGTTTATAAGCTATTGAACTACAGGATAATACTAAACAATTAATGGAGAACCAAAACATCCAGTTACGTTCATGATAAGCTCTAACAGATTTCCAAGATATGATTCCCATTGTTTGGAGAATAAACTAACCGTTTCTACGTCAGGGCGCCGCCTTTGCCAGCGAGACCATTGCTCCTTGTCTGGCTTTCTCCAGTTCCACCATAGCTCTTCACTTGACAGTGTATTCTCTATAGGCTTCTTTACTTTCGGATCAATGAAAGGATGAGGGTTTCCAATTTTTTTGTCCAGTGCATACCCAGTGAGCTCTTCATCAGGTTCAGTCTGATATGTAACATATTGGGAAGAAAGATCTTCTGGTCCTTGTGATTCAGCATCTTTAGTCTCTACTACTTCCACTGGATCATCCGAGGGTATACTTGCAACTGAAGGCTCAGAAGTGGGGGAAGCAGAAGCCTTGTTCTTCTTTCTTCTTCTACTTCCAGGACTCTTTCCATAAGATGGAGTTCCAGTGGAAACACCTGCTGGTTCAGGAGCTTGAGCTGCTCTAACTCTACTGGCCGTACCTTCTGGCCAGTACTCCGGCCCAGGAATGCTTGCCCGAGCACCAGAGGCTGGTTCCATCTTCCCGGAAGTGGAGTCAAAATAACTGTAATATGGATAACGCTCAACTGATACAAGCTTGGATGAACCTTCCTTCTCTTTATCTTTCTCATTCTCGCACTTTACAGAAAAATGTGAATGAATTTTTTTAAGCACTAGTTTTGATTGCCATACTGGGAGGGGAATCGAACCTGCAAAAGATGATGTCAGGTAGTTCCCACATAAGGTGTTTGCATGTATTCCCACCATTAAACCAAATCCAATGAAGCTGTAAGGGTGAAAGAAAAAATCATAGAGGGGGCAGAGATAAGCTAGCTGTAAATTTCTGCTTGGGAGTTGCGATTAATTTCAGATTATTCATAGAATCATAGATAGATTAGGGTTGCTGCTGTGACTCCCTCTCAAGCTCATGATCCTTCCACCATTGATCATTCCAAACCTGAGAGAATGTAGTGCATAAGTTCCTACACGGTGTCGTTTTGCTTGAGCCCTTCTCATCCGCTACTGCTATTTAAGGGAGAGGAGCAGAAGCAGCAGAACTGGAGTGTTTGGGTGAAAGTGCAGAAGTGATTCTGGTGTTCAAATTTACTCCTAGAATCAATTTTTTAGAAGTTAGGGGTGACCAGCTTCTGAAAACTGATTCTGATTCTGCTTCTACTTTAAAAAAAAGAAGCAGAAGCAGAATCAGTTCCAAACATCCCCTTAACCTGTAAAAAAGAGAAATTCTTCGGGTACACGTTTGGTTTTTGTTATAAATATGTGTACTAATTCTGCATGAAAATAAAATAACTAATAAATAGTTAAGGAGAACGTAATAATACTTGTAACCGAGCCCAACGTAAACGTTGTTTCCTTAAGACGTTTTTGCCCGACACACGTAGCAATCGTCTCCCAGGATAGAACGGTTCTTCGCTCCCAACGGGATCCCGGCGAACTCAAAGATGCAACAAAAGGAAGAGATCGAATATGGAGGATTGTTGTTGATTTTCGGATATATCAAAATTGAAGACAATGTGGGTATTTATAGAACTCTGGCCAAGAGTCTCTAACCCAAAAGACACCTATTAAAAGAAAGATCATGACCTTTCTTTTAAAACGAATAGTTATGTCTTCTATTTGGTTTTATCTGAAAAGGAATAAAAACGTAGCAAAATAATCTCCAGTCTTTAGCCATACGAAGATGTCCGGTGAGACTCGAACCCGGCCCGACCCGAGCTAGCCGACTTACGGCGGCGGTGTGAGCGGGGTTAAATATAATTTCACGCTTATCTTTCGGGGAACAATTTCTCATTCATTTCAGAATGGTTTTTCCAAATAATATTAATGACCATAATATTAATTTGTAAAACCATTTTTCCAACAATCCCCCCACATGAATAGGAAATTGGCTTAAAGACAGGAAACAGATTGGAATTTGACATGGGAAGATGGGAACTCTGCATAGGGTTAGGTAGTCGTGAAACTTTGAACCTACCTTAGTGTATATTCATCGGATTTACCGGCCAATCAGTGACCATTTCTGCCTTGAACTGTCAGCCTTAGCGTAAACCTAGACAATGAATAACACACAGAGCCCCGAGTGCATCTTTGGTTCTCACGTTTGTGTTCGTTTCGGCCTTGAACACCTCCTGGTTCAGCTAGTGTTTTCAAGAGTATATCGTGCACCGGAGAATTTATCTCGTGCCATAGACTCTCATAGAAGCGGCCTTCTTCCACCAGCATAGGTGATCTCTATGGAAGGTATCATGTCATACCTTACTTGAACTTATCGAGATATAGAGATCATTAAAAGCGTAACTTACCCTAAGTGCTCATGACATGAGTGTACTATATCTTGGCTAGTACCGCCCGAGCCAGTCCACAGTTGTGTTTTCCCTTTGAACCTAATTATGAGGCACTCTCAATAATAGGTAGGGTTTCCCCATGGACTTTTTATTGGATCATTGGCCGTAGGCCCATCGCTCTCCTTGACGTTTCGACCAACTCTCTCGGTAGAGGTTTGGTTAGCGGATCCGCAATATTTTCTTTCGACTTAACATAGTCAAGAGAGATGATCCCATTTTTAATTAGTTTTCTAACGGTATTATGTCTACGACGGATGTGTCTAGACTTACCATTATAAACTGCATTCCTTGCCCTTCCAATTGCAGCTTGACTATCACAATGAATGGATATTGGAGGGACAGGCTTTTCCCAACAAGGAAGATCTTCCAAAAACTCTCTCAACCATTCAGCTTCTTCTCCAGCCTTATCTAAGGCAATGAATTCAGCTTCCATGGTAGATCTTGCAATACATGTTTGTTTGGAAGATTTCCACGACACAGCACCACTTCCAAGGGTAAACACATATCCACTTGTTGATTTTGTATCCTTGGAATCGGATATCCAATTTGCATCGGTATATCCCTCTAGCACGGCTGGATATTTTTGAAAATGTAAACCATAGTCTTTGGTGTACATCAAATACCCAAGCAGCCTTATAAGTGCTTTCCAGTGTTCTCTACCGGGATTTACAGAAAACCGGCTTAACTTATTCACAGCTTGAGCTATATCGGGTCGTGTTCCATTCATGACATATGTTAAACATCCTATGACCCGAGGATAGTCATCTTGTGACACACTTTCTCCTCTGTTTTTATTGAGGTGAACACTGGAATCAAAAGGAGTTCTCATGGGTTTGATATCATACTTCTTGAATCTCTCAAGCATTTTCTCAATGTAGTGTGATTGAGATAATATCAACCCTTCAGGTGTTCTGATGATTTTAATTCCTAGAATCACATCAGCAACACCGAGATCCTTCATTTCAAATCTCCTGGCCAACATACTTTTGGTAGCCTTTATCAAATTACTGTTACTACCAAAAATGAGCATATCATCTACGTATAGACACACTATGACGTAGTCATTTTTATTGCCTTTCACGTACACGCACTTGTCAGCCTCGTTGATCTTAAATCCATTTGATAGCATTACACTGTCAAATTTATCATGCCATTGTTTGGGGGCTTGTTTTAACCCATAAAGAGATTTTACTAAGCGACAAACCTTTCTTTCTTGTCCGGGGACAATAAAACCTTCAGGTTGTTGCATGTAAATCTCTTCCTCTAAGTCACCGTTCAAGAATGCAGTTTTTACATCCATTTGATGGATTTCCAAACCCTTCAATGCAGCTATTGCCAATAACGTTCGAATTGAAGTTATTCTTGTGACCGGTGAGTAGACATCAAAGTAGTCAAATTCTCCTTTTTGGTTGTATCCTTTGGCAACCAATCGAGCTTTGTACTTTTCAATTGTTCCATCAGTTCTCCTTTTCTTTTTGAAGATCCATTTGCATCCTAGAGGTTTAGATCCAGGAGGCAAATCTACCACTTTCCAGACGTGGTTAGACATGATGGAATCAATTTCACTTTTGATAGCCTCTTGCCATTGTACAGCGTCCAGTGAAGACATGGCTTCTTTATAGGTTTGAGGCTCATCATCTAGAAGGTACACAACAAATTCTGGTCCAAAATCTTTCGATTTTCGAGCCCTTTTGCTGCGTCCCACTTCACCTTCCTGCGCTATTTCGTTGTTATCTTTTATAGAATCAAACGGCCTCTTATGTGAGTTTGTTTCTTCAACATGGGTTGGAATGAAAACATCCATGTCGGAGGAGACAACTTCACAATCTCCCTTGAAAGGGAATACATTCTCAAAGAATGTAGCGTCTCTAGATTCTATAAAAGTATCAGCCAATATATCCATGTTATGGGATTTGTGGACAAGGAAACGATATGCACTACTATTTTGTGCATAACCAACAAAGACACAATCAATGGTCTTTGGTCCAAGTTTTGTCCTCTTAGGTTTGGGAATAGCTACTTTAGCTAGACATCCCCACACTTTCAAGTAATTAAAACTTGGTTTTTTCCCTTTCCATAACTCATATGGAATCTTGTGTGTTTTCTTGTGGGGCATTCTATTTAGAATGTAGTTGGCGGCTAAGACAGCATCCCCCCACAAGTTGTTCGGTGCACGAGAGCTAACTAACATGGCATTAACCATGTCCTTTAATGTTCTATTTTTCCTCTCGGCGATTCCATTAGATTGAGGTGTATAAGGAGCAGTAGTTTGATGAATTATTCCACTTTCCGAGCAGATTGGCTCAAAGGGATACTCATATTCACCACCCCTATCACTCCTTAACACTTTAATCTTCCTCCCAAGTTGATTTTCAACTTCAGCTTTATAATGCTTAAAAGCATTAACAGCTTCATCTTTGCTATGTAGCAAATACAGATAGCAATATCTTGTGCTATCATCAATGAAGGTAATGAAATACCTTTTCCCCCCTCTAGTTTCTTCATACTTGAGATCACAAAGATCTGTGTGTATGAGATCTAGTGGTTCAGTTTCTCTAGTAATAGAGTGAAAAGGTTTTCTAGCCATTTTTGCTTCAACACAAATTTCACACTTGTGATTAGGATCAATATGACATTTAGGAAGCAATTCTAAATGCATTAATCTACGCAAAGTATCATAATTGACATGTCCTAGTCTAGCGTGCCAAATAGAAGAAGACTCAACCAAGTAAGAAGAACCCACTTTATTATTATCAACAAGTTTGGGTACAACGGTAAGTACATTCATTTTGAAGAGACCATCATTGAGATAGCCCTTCCCTACAAACACATCATTCTTTGTAAGTACAAATTTATCAGCCACAAAGACAAGCTTGAAACCATTTTTGCTAAGGAGGGAGCCCGAAACCAGATTCTTGCGTATGTCAGGGACATGTAGCACATCGTTTAAAGTTAGAGTTTTCCCACTCGTCATTTTGAGGACAACTTTGCCGCGACCTTCTGCTTTGGATGTAGAAGAGTTACCCATAAATAGTTGTTCCTCGTTATCAACAGGTTGATAATCGGTGAACATCCACTTGTTAGCACATATATGTCGGGTAGCTCCAGTATCAATGCACCATTCTTTAGTGTTTCCCACTAAATTGCATTGAGATATCACAGCACATAGGTTCATTTCACCCATGTCATCAGAGAGGTCATCCACAATATTGACTTGTCCGGTCTTCTTTTTCTTAGGAGCACGACAGTCCTTAGCACGGTGACCGGGCTTGCCACAATTATAGCACTTTCCTTTGAACTTCTTTGACGAAGGTTTCCCTCCACTTGTTCCTTCGTCATTGTGCTTTCTCTTCTTCCCTTTCTTGGATCCCGCTTCCACCATGTTTGCTTTAGCTTCCATGGAATTAGACCGTCCAGCCTTATGCTCGGATTTGCGGTTATCCTCCTCTATCCTTAAACGGACAATGAGCTCCTCTAGGGACATCTCCTTACGCTTATGCTTCAAGTAATTCTTGAAGTCTTTCCATTTGGGAGGTAATTTTTCAATTACCACCGCCACTTGGAAGGACTCACTAAGGGACATACCCTCAGCGTGAATTTCATGAAGGATAAGTTGGAACTCTTCAACTTGAGAAACAACC